AGCCTTTAAGTAGCGCTGGTACACCTGAAAATGGCCCAAGCCTCGGCCATACGGAACCGAATTTAAGGCGTGAAGCCATCTCTGTCGTGATCAGGTGTTGTCCAAGTGGCAGCTCGGTGCCCCTGCGGCCTTCAGGAACAGGAAGAATGTGGGGAACTCAATGCCGACGCAGCACAGGGAAAACCTGAAAGGGCTGCGCTCCAGCCGGGCCAGCCCACGCCCGACTTGGATATCCAAGATTGGACCCCACCCATGACTGAGGTAGCAGCCGCTCCACTGCCGATTCAGGGCCAACGCTGGATTGAGTGGTAACCTAAACCCTAAAACCCTAAACCTTAAACCGTGCAGTCACGGGGGAGTTCTTCATTGCGAACCACATATAAATCCCGTGCCGGTTGCGCTGAAGAACATTTCCGGCAGAGAAGGCTCCTGCACACCCCTAAACCCGAAGTATCCTTAAACCCTACATAAACCATAGACCTTAAACCCGAAATATCCCAAAACCTAAGAATCCCAAAATCCTAAACCTGAGATGTCCCTATACCAAAAGCATCCCTAAACCCTACCTAAACATCCCTAAACCCTAGACCCTGAACCCTGAACCCCCTAAGCCCTAAGCATTCCTTGAACCCCAAACTCTAAACATCACTAGATCCCAAGCCCTAAACATTCACCCCTAAACTCTAAACATCCCTAAACCCTAAATCCTAAGCATCCCTTGAACCCTAAACTCTAAACATTCATAAACCACAAGCCCCACACACTCCTTGAACCCTAAGCATTCCTAGACCCTTTTAAAACCCGAAGCCCCAAACCCTAAGCATTTCTTGAACATTAAACCCTAAACACCTCTAGAACCCTAAACCCCAAACCCCAACCCCCCCTAAACCTAAGCATTTCTTGAACCTTAAAGCATTCCTTGGATCGTAAACATCGCTAGGCATTCCTTGAACCTTAAGAATTCACTGAACCCTAAGAGTTCCTAAGCCCTAAGCAATCCTTGAACCCTAAAGCATTCCTCGGATCCTAAACATCACCAAACCCTAAGCACTCCTTGAACCCGAAGCTTTCATTGAACCCTAAGAATTCCTAAGCCCTAAGCAATCCTTGAACCCTACGCCCGGCGCCAGGTGAAGGTCGTCCTTGCTACGACCAGCTCGGCGGAAGCGCCGAGGATGCTGCCCGGCAGATTCTGGGTTTCCCTTTGAAGTGGTTTATCTTACTATAGTCACTAAATTTAGGGTTTAGGGTTTAGGGTTAAGGGTTTAGGGTTTAGGGTTTCTATAGTCTCCTTTGGAATTAGTTTTTTAGGTGTTGTTCATATAAATCCCAAGAGAATAAAAAACATAGTATTTTTATTATGGTTCTAAAGGGGTAGCTGAAAGCGCTCCCTTGCAGGGCTATATGTAAAAAGAAATCTATAAGTGATGTATGATGGTTCAGGGCCCTTGAAGTGATTTATGGAGGGTTTAGAGCTTCAGGTAGAGTTTATGATGTATCCAGGGTTTATTGTGGTGTAGGATTTGGGGCTTACGGTTCAGAGCCCTTTCAGTGATTTATAGCTCCCTGGAAGGGCCTGCCTGACCTACCTCGCTACCCTCTTGCTGCAATAATTACCATGCACGCAAAGAGCAGTAGCAGTAGTGCATTTTTCAAAACCTTAGGCAAGAAAGGCCGGCGTCAGAACTGACCCCGCACACCAGCCGGGACCTCCTCCAAGTCCTTGTAAGTCGTTCATACGAGTTTTGGTTTGTGCGGTTTCAGTGTCATTGCTTGACAATAACAAGAGCTACCAACATGTTCGTTACCAGGCCCTTCCTGTTTAACTGAAACCCGAGGATGCCCTGGCTGAACCCCAACCAATATAAGCTTAGATAGCCAATGGGGGAACTTTAAGCTTTTCAGGCTTAAACTGTTTTGGGCTTTTAGGGTTTAGGGTTTAGGGTAGTTTAGGGTTTAGGGTTTCTGGTTTTTGAAGGAGAGACTAACCCTAAACCCTGAACCCTAAGCCCTTCGGCGCCCGAAGATGTGACTTGGCAGTGGTGCCAATGCTACAGTTCCCGACTACAGGATAATGGTTAGGGCTTAAGGTTTAGGAAGATTAGGGATTTAGGGGCTGAGGGTTTAGGGTAGCATCTATTTCGGGGGGTTAGATTCGAGGTTGGGGTTTAGGGCGTAGACTTATGCATGGCGTTGGGGTTCAGGGTTTAGGGTTGGGTGTCTTTTTAATGCTCAAATACCGTATAGGCCTTGGGTTTAGGGTTTAGCCGTAAACCCTAAACCCGAAGCCGGACGCCCTAAACCCTTGAGGCCCTAAAGAATTGCCTTAAACCGTTTAGCAGGTGGTAGCTTAGTCCTCATGCTTTGAGCAGGCAGAAGTTCTGATGGCTGACACTGACTGACAAATGTCCGACCGAGACCTAAACCCCCAATCGCTAAACACCCCTAAACCCCAAACTCCTAAACCCCTAAACCCTTAACTCCCTAAACCCGGAACCCTAAACCCTATCTGAAACCTAAATTCCTAAACCCCTAAACTCTAAGCTCTGAACCCTAAACTTACTGTTGGTTAGTAGGGAATGGAAGAATCGCAGTCATAGTAGTTATAAATATACCCCATTCCTCCATTCCAGGGCCCGAATCGCTGGCGAGAGCTGCCAGAATTTTGTAGTGCCCCAGCGCTCAGTGCGCGACTCTTTGGGTAGTTGCCATCAGCCATTGGGCGACACCCGCCGTCTCCATCCTGGCACCGGCGGCTACGAGCTGGTCGGTCTCGAGCCAGGCGGACAATTCGTGCTGGTCGGCAGCCGTCGACTGTCCAGCTACGACGGCTCTTCGAGCACCACGCGGCACCGCTAGGCCAGGGTATGGCCAAGAGCAAAGCCAAGGCGGCAGCAGTGGCACCATGGCGCCAGCGACGCGAGGATCGCCGCGACGATCGTCGCAACGACGACCACACCACTCGTGGGCCCGGAAATGGTTGGAGTGTTTGGCATGGTGCATGGCGCTCCACCAACTCGCCGGGTACTGCCGAGAAGTCCCAGCGCTTTCCGAGCTACGACCGCAAATGGGAGCCGGAACCGCAGATCAGGGTGGTCAGCGAACAACGACATGCAGAACCGTCACGAGCGACAGAGAGCGCCTCGAAGAAGGTGCAACAATCTGTCAATATCCTGCGCAAGGCCGAGACGAGAGTTGGCAAGATTGCGCGGGATCAGCAAGAAAAGGCCCACCGGTTTGCGGACTACGAAAAGCAGTTGATGGCCTCTTTTCTGGTGGAGAAGCAGAAGCACGCGGAGTATCAGGAGAAGCTCTCCCGAGATCTAGACGAAGCCAAACAACAGGTTCTGGAGGCCAAGACCATGTTGGCGAAGTCGGTGGCCGAAGCCACCTCGCTAGGCGAGGACATCAACATGGAGACGACTTCACAAGGCGAAGCCGAGTGGGCAGAGACGATTCGTCGGCACTCTGGTCCGCCCCCAAATGGATCCCGAGGTAGTGGCCCTGCTCAGGCTCTACAGGAGCGGTGCCATGCCCTCGCTGGGCGAGGGAGCAGCGGCTTCATCCTTGCTGGGTGGAGGGTCGACGCATGGACCGCTACCCGTGCAAAGTGTCCCACCTGGCCTAGAGACGAACAGTATTGCAGTGCCGAGCGTGGAACCACCGGTCATGCATGCAGAGCCACCCAAGATCTCAGCGGGCGAGCCAGCGATGCCCACTTATGGAGCAGCATCGCCAGGAGTCGACAGGGCCAATCGAGCGGCTCCATATCCACAGACCTCGCCGTTACCGCAGCGGAATGCCGAACCGATGCCTGCGGAGAACAAGGAGCCTGCTACCACACCTCTGCAGCCGATGTCGACTCAGAAGGAGGCCGAGGTTTCCAAGCTGCCCGTGCGAGAAGGGATCAAGACACCGGTCAAGACACCAATTCCTTCCACGACTTTGCAGGAAAAGCTGGAACACAAGCGGGCTACAGACCCTCTTGGTACAGCTATGCAGCCTTTCAGAGGAGGTCAGGCCAGCCACGTCACACAGGTGGCACAGACAGAGCAGACAGGAGCTGCAGTGGTTCCGAGAACTACTGTAGTCCACGACGACGATCCGGACCTGCAACACATGTCGGCCTCTCCGGGGCTGACGAAGCTGGAGTGAGCCACCCTGAGGACCTTAGGCGAGGGTCGCAGTGGCTTCCGAGATGTGCCATACTTCGTTGCAGACTGAGGAGGCCCGTACCGTTGCAGGATTCAGAGACTTGGGTGGTCATGACTCCTGCACGTGTACAAGTCCACCCCGGCCAATGCACCCAGTATGCGCATGTCCCGGCTAGTGCCTGCGGATCCTCGCAGTTTCACAGTTTCAATGTAGGCCGTATACGGACACCGGACCCATCACAAGCCAGCCTTGTCGGTTCCTCCATAGCCTTCCCTCATTGGGTTCTTGAGGGAGGCTATGCTGGGAATACGTCTTCCTCTGGCCCTACGACAGGATGCCTTTTTGGTGTCTCTGATCGGGGGCCCCCGCCTCGGCTGCGGCTCGATTTTGACCCGGTTGCTCTTGTACCTTCTGCCTCCTTCAGTACACCGTTCTGTGAGCGCTCCGTCCAATGCGCCTTTGACTTCGGCTGCAGACTGCCCTCAATGCTAGTGGTGCCTACTTGCAGCAGTGTAGCGGATGTTGGGGAAAGGATTTCAGCAGACTTCCTTGTGTACCTGACTTGCGTCTCCTGTGCCTTCTTTCGGACAGTGTGGGGAGTCCTGGGCCTGGCTCTCTGCCGTTTGTTGGTGAGACAGCTGGTAGGGCGTCATACTTCCTTGGGACGAGCCATACAGTCTCCGTTGCAGTCACTCCCTGAAACTACTGTTCTTTGCCTGGCAGGTACTGCGGTGCAATTGACACAGCCCCTCCAATGGAATCCTGGTCCCAGGGTTAGGAATCGGCCTCTCCCAGCCAGTCCTGCCTTCAGATACTTCCGTTGCGCTTCTTGCTTCCGGTGGCTGATGGCGCTCCTCTTCTGCACAGTTCCCACCCGAGTATGGGCCGCCCCAGAGGGTCTTTCCACAGTTGTTGCTGCGGCAGCCATATCTCAGCAGACTGCCCCGGAACACTTTCCGACCCACAGATTCGAGCTTGAGCGAGAGCAAGCTGTGCTACAACAGCCTCCGGCTAATCGCTGCATCTCACTGCCCACCAGCATATCACTTGTACATGATGACCACTGCAGCTGGCTGGGTGTAACGGTCTTCGCGCCACATGCACAGCCCAGGTACTATGCGATGCCTTGCGACCCAGGCTCCCGGCTTGACGATGTAGCCTCGCAGGTGTTACTGAGAGAACAAGCCACTCGGCCCGGATACCATTTCCTCTCCCCGGTCGTTCCTCAAAGACATCCAGGTTTTGCAGCCTTTGTCCTGCATACTGCAGAGGATGACCGCCTTCGACAGGTCTCCGTTGTGGTTGATCTGTCGCACGTGGGGGGGCATTATTATGCTGCCTCTCTGCCATGTGGTAGTACGGTGGCTGACTTCTTGGCAAGCGTGTACCGACAAACGCATGTCGATGACAGGCCACTGCGCTTGTGGCTACCCTTCACAGACACAGCGGCTGCAGACGCAGATGTGCTAGAGCCGGCCCACGGAGATGTTCTCACTGTCTTGTGGGATGGAGTGCAGCCGTTACGGGGTAGGCGAATACAGGCACTCTTCGATTCCCCGAGGGCATGGACCACACCGAGCCACATGCCCACAAGCTTTTGTACGCCAGGGCAGCTTGTCTTTTGGCAGGAGGAAACATTTTTCTTTCATGCCAGGTTTTTTCCAGGCCTAAGCATGCAACAGGCACTTAGCAAGGTGCTTAAGATGCCAGAGGCCCGTCTCAGCTTCCATGTCTCTGATCAGCTTGTTGGGGTAGCTTTTCAAGGAGAGGCATGTGATGCAGTGATCTTCGTGCAGGAAGCCATCGAGTTTGAGGCTCCTGCACAGGCTGCTTCCAGAACACCTCGCACCGTTCCGATTCTTTGCGATGCCCGGCAGGTCGGCAGAGGTCTTCAGGTCATTGCACAATCAAGCCCATCCATCACTGGTGTCGAGGTTTTGCTCTCGCTTGGGATGACTGTCGATGAGAAATATGTCGTCCAGGTCTGCACTTCCGACCAGCATCCCTCCAACAAGGAGCAAATGCGCGTGGTTAGTGTTTGGGAGCCACACACGCGGCTTTTCAGACCGGCTTCTGCTCCCAATCTCCTGCAGAGATTGTACCATGATGCAGCTGACCTGCATGACTTGGAGGCTGACCCTCCCACGGATTCAGAAGGTGATCATGGTGACCCACCCTCAGGATCGGAGGCCCAGGCAGATTTTTCTGACTCAGACAGCTCCGAGCAGCCTGACGGCGCACATACTGTTGAGGCCACTTTCATGGTGTTTCGCATGGAATACCAGCCGATTGAGCTTCAGGTCACACTTGCAATGCCCTCCACTCTTCAGGCGTGCATCGATGCAGTGGACGGTGAACTTGACGATTACGTAACAAGTCCTGTGCTGCTTCCCGCGCGCCCACAACTCTCGCAAGAGTGGGGCGCCTTCGTTGCCGTGCCCCGTTGGGCTGCTGATGAGCCTCATGCTGTGATGGACCTTAGACAGTATGACGGGCGTCTTTTTGTCGCACCTCTGCCAAGAGTTGCGACTCCAGCACACATCCTGCGCTCAGCCGGTGCGCCTGATGATGGCACCTTGTCTGTGTTTCCTCATGGTGCCGACCGGCCATTGCTCCCAGATGAGGAAGTTGAGTGTACGCCGGGAGGGACTATTGCAATAGTCCCGACCAGACAGCGCCCCTCGGCTCGTAGCCAATTGACTCATATGCTGCTTGATCCTGGGGCATGGGCGTTCCCTGCCTTCCTCCCAGGCGGTTTGGGCGGTTTGCGTAGCCCCTACCTGTGTCTGGTCTTGGAGCAAGGCCATCGCTTGCATGTTCTCGACAATCCGCCCGGGGAGCACCTTGAGCGCTTGGCTGCCAGATATGGTTTCCCCAGCCACATGACCCGTGCACAGGTCACCAGGCCGCGGATCACCGACATGAACATCAACGGTTATCATTGCAAGGGTGTGGCTGCAGTGTCGGGTGACATGCCGAATGTCCTTATTCCACCCGGCCGGCTCCGTCCCGGGCACATGCTTGCCGTCGTCGATTGCCGTCCAATCCTGCAGGGGTGGCAACTTCTTGCCACTACGGATGGCACCAGTGACTTCCAGGAGCTTGTAGATCTCCTCACGGTTTTTATGCCAGAGGGACACAGACTGCACCTTGACAACATTGATTTGAGAGGGCCGTTGTTGCACCTCCAGCCAGGAGCGGTGTACGTCGCCTCCTATGTTCCAGACAGACCTGCGACCGAGGAGGAAGACAGTGATCTCCTGGATGATGCGCCCAGGGGCACGCCGCCCCATGATTTGACTCCTGAGGAACACGGTGAGAGCGAGGCCCCCGAGCAAGCACAGGCGCCTATAACGGCGGATAGGTCCAGAAGCCGCTCGCCTCATACCTTACCAGCACAAGGGCGGACTCAGAGCACACCTTGCAGTGTCAGCGCCCTTGCGCCAGCCTCTCTATGCACTCCCATGTACACTGCGTTGTGCAAGGGCCCCCCAGCGCCGTATCCGGGTTTGCCGGTTCTCCAGGCTGTCACGGTGTCCATGTTGCAGACAGAGGGAAATGCTTCGCTGTTGGTCTCACTGGTAAGTGACCCGGGCCCGGGAGATCCTTTCCATCTTTTCCGTTGCCAATCTGGGCCGACCAAGCGCTCCCAGGTCCCCGTGCCAGTGCATTCGCCTCTTTAGCGGCGCAGCCGCCAACAAGGGGTATAGACGAACAGCCAGAAGGACCGGGCAGCCCTGTTCCAGTTTTCACAGTGCCACGCCCTGAGCTCGACCTGGTACAGGAACCTGCTGCCGCGCCTTTTGACGCCAGTTTTTGCATTTTGACGCAGGATTACTGGCCGGAACTCATTACAGTCACACTTGGCGCCGATCCCTCGGTCTCGGCTGCTCTAGCCACAGTCACGGAGGCGCGCGCGCCGGCAAAAAGACAGGCCTTCCCTATCCTGATCCCGGTTCGACCTCAGGCCTCACCAGGTTTCGCGACCCTCTTGTCCGTCCCAGCGTGGCAGCTGCCCGGCGTTCCAGTGCTATTTGACTGCAGCCGCATAGATGGCCGCATCTTCACAGCTCTTGTTGCAGACAGCATGGACCTTCGCTCTCTGCTCAGTGTAGCTGAGGTTGTTGCCGCTGCAGGGACACTCGTTTACGTTGCGGACTCCCCATGGCCTTTGGAACCAGGTCAGGTGCAGCCGCTCCAGCAAGGGGATTTGATCATGATTCTGCCGGTCGAGCATGACTACCTCATTCTAAGCAGTCTTGAAGATATGCTGCTTGACCCACACTGCTGGGCGAGGGATCCTGCCTTGCCTGTTTCTGCCGTTCGCCATTTCTGGATACTCACGGATGTCGAGTCGTTTCGATATCCTGTGACAGCTCAGAGACGACATTTTCGTCGAGACGTGGCCGAGGACCTAGGCTGTCCGCCGGATAGACTCAGGCTCTGTCCTTCACAGCCTCAGGTCGCGGATCATGCTGATCGCGGTCATCTGTCCACCACGGTTTTGGTGGCTTCGGACAGAGCACTCCAGCCCATGCCGGGGCTGCCGCATACTATCTGTGTGCTTGACCTTAGACCCTTGTGTGTGGGCCTTACCTGGCAGTTCGCTCCACAAGGTGTTCTTGACCACCAAGCACTCCGTGACCAATTGGGTACGTTCTGCCCCGCAGGACATGACATCTGCGTGTACAGGGATAGGGTCCTGCTTGACCCACATGCTCACATCGTGGGACTCCGAGACGGGGAGGTGATTGTCGTCATGTTCCAGCCCTGGCCGGAAGCAGAGACAGACAACGAGGACATGCCCTCGGAGGATAGCGACCCTGGTGATGGCCGTGCGACCTCGACCGAGGCTGAGTCGGTCCGAGAGACCCCCTCCTTGGGTACTGCCGTCTGGTTCCGAGGCGCCAGATACATTGAGTGCTGTCAGCCCGGGAGGGACGGAACACTTCGCTCTTTCCGTTTTGGCTCATCGAACCGT